TAAGATTTCATAAAGAGAAACCAATAGTTGAGATATTGTCAAAAGTCTAACACTGCTTCTTGACGCCAAACTCGGCCTACGGATTCTAAACTCTGCCTAACGCATTGAAACACCATTGAAACGCCAATGAATTCACTTCGGCCTATCGGATGAAGATAAAACATGATTCGGTCGGAGCGCTTGTTTTGTTTTTGGGAAAAATGGGTGCAAACATTCATATCACGCGTTTTCACTGACTTCGTTCGGTAGCTTATTAACTAAAGTATCGTACCAAACGCATAATTGACTTGTTAACTCTGAAATCATGGATTTATTTGAAGTTTTCTGATCGATAGGCCCAAAATGGGCGATTAGGCCGAAGTAGTTCTCTACCCTATATAATGAATTTTGCGAAGCACGGCTAAAGAAATGTGGTGTTTTTACCGACAACCATTTTAAAGCAACCATTTTAAAAGTTGTACCTGGCTAGTTTGTTTATGTTTTTACCCGAACACGACATTATTTCTTTTGAATACCCGTTCCATACCCGATCCCGATTTTTTTAAATACCAGTACCTGACCCGAACCGATTTTTTAAAATCGAGAAACCAATAGTTGAGATATTGTCAAAAGTCTAACACTGCTTCTTGACGCCAAACTCGGCCTACGGATTCTAAACTCTGCCTAACGCATTGAAACACCATTGAAACGCCAATGAATTCACTTCGGCCTATCGGATGAAGATAAAACATGATTCGGTCGGAGCGCTTGTTTTGTTTTTGGGAAAAATGGGTGCAAACATTCATATCACGCGTTTTCACTGACTTCGTTCGGTAGCTTATTAACTAAAGTATCGTACCAAACGCATAATTGACTTGTTAACTCTGAAATCATGGATTTATTTGAAGTTTTCTGATCGATAGGCCCAAAATGGGCGATTAGGCCGAAGTAGTTCTCTACCCTATATAATGAATTTTGCGAAGCACGGCTAAAGAAATGTGGTGTTTTTACCGACAACCATTTTAAAGCAACCATTTTAAAAGTTGTACCTGGCTAGTTTGTTTATGTTTTTACCCGAACACGACATTATTTCTTTTGAATACCCGTTCCATACCCGATCCCGATTTTTTTAAATACCAGTACCTGACCCGAACCGATTTTTTAAAATTAAATTGTAAAAACCCGTACACGGCCATCTCTACTGCCTATCTAACATGATTAAACGCTTCAAAACGCGTAAAAGTTTTATTTTAACCAAGCTTTCAAAATGACATCACTATCTGTACACCATCTAGTCTAGAGTAGTAACAATTGACTATATTATGCTGAAGTTAAATCATCTTTTGCAAACTCTTTTTCATGTAGATATTCGAGTTTACTTACAAATTTGCCAATAAATTTGACAAAAGTGAATTTGCAGTTGTTTAAGACATCCCCGCAACTATTTATCAGGTGAAGTATTTTTTACCGAAAAGTTATTATTAATTCATTTTGACGTATGTTTCGTCATTCGTCAGAAGAAATCCTTCAAATTTCGTTAAGACTCAAGACACTGTCACTCAATTCAGATTCTTTTCTTTTTGAAATATTCTTCAATCATCATCATTAGTATACACATACATTTACACACTATCTATCCGAAAATTTAAAGCAAGTATTTTTTGATTTTACATCGAAAATTTTTCTGGATAAAACACTTTCACTGCATTGACTTACTTGTGTTCTTCGTGTTCAATACAGTTTTTCAGAGTTTTTTTTTTATGGATGGAACGGTTGGCAAATGCATTGCAGATATGCGTTGAAAAGTGTAAGTTGGTCGAACACATTTTCTCCTATTCCGTATAAAATTTTCAACATTGATATTGATACAACGCAGATAAAAAGGTATATGTTGTGTATTAAAACGTTTTGCAAAGCTAGAGCATTTTCACAAGGTGCCAGATTTTTATTGAAGAAATTAAAGTTGCCAGTTTGTGGGATTTTGTATCCGTAAGACTATATATATAGTGACTATAGTGTGTAGCGGTATGTATATTGAAACCTTCCACTAGATTTAGATTTTTAATCGGGCTTTAATTAAAAATTATCGTTTGCAAGTTCAAAATGTTTTTATAATGCTAAAGAATGATATAATTTTACAAGACGAAAATGCAGCACCCGCAAAGTTTAAAATAAATCAAACAAGGATGAAACTGATTGCCTTTATTCGGACACAACAAGCAAGATACCAATTAAGCCTGATTTATTTCTCACTAACTATCCGATGACACCAAAGGTGTTGGCACCATAACTGTGTTCTCAACAGATCTTGTCAAACAAGATCAATTAAAGGATAAACCATATTTCATTCACGATAATGTGCTGATTCTCTTTCTTACTCTTTCCAACGCAATTTCATTTCATCATAGGGTATATCGATCTGCTATTGGTGGCCCGACCGAGGATAATTTATTGTGGGGCGAGGCATTGGTCACATCTCACAAATATCAGCAAACGAGTTCGTTCGATTGATTCCGATGGCGAACGCCGCCTTGCTCATGTATGGATCATGACTGTGATTTCACTCCATAATGGTATGCTAATGAGGCTCCAGTCAATGTAGAGTGGAAGATACTCACTTGTAAGGGTAAATTATGCATAACATCCCATGAGGCACGAAGTTTAACAGACAATTGGAGTGGTTGGTAAACTTCACATCACAGCACGAATTATAAAAGATAATTTCACTAATAGTTGAGCAGTTTTAGAACTACTGGAGGTTTTATGAAAATGAGATGATAAATTTCGGCTTTTTTGGGAAAGTATAAACACAATCCTCTTTTCACGAAGTTCTAGAACAGGAGTCACGGAGCGCTTGTGCGATAACAATTCTTTGGGAGCATCGAATTTTCAAGCATTCAACTCACAAATAATTTATAAATTCGCATAAAAAATTTACAGGACCATACAATTTCGACGAAAATTGTCAAATTTCATCTCAAAATATAAACCATTTTCTACAATAGAGAAAAGGGAGAAGCACAATTTTTTCTACCAATCAATATTGGATTGTATGCGTGGCTGCTTCTCACCCCTGTCGTTGTCGTTGGGATTTTTTTGATGCATAAACATCTCTGGCCCCGTTTTTGTTCGGAATGAAAACAAAGCCGTTGTACAGTGTGACGACTTATAACATAACCTGGTTAAAGTACCTTTTAAATGACCAACAAGGAGTATTGAACTCGGAACAGGTACAAGGAAGGGTCCAACATATATTTCGTGTGAAAAATTCATCCTTTGACATTTGTATTGTCATAATTTGTTTAAAGCCTACTTTAATGCAACGCTTATTATGGTATCGAATCGGTTTGTGCTGTTTATCAGACTTGATATAAAAAATAATAATTTTCGGCTAGTTTTTGAAAGATTCCGAAACATAAGGATCCTATTTTTGAAAAGCTAATAAATTTTCCTTTAGACAGTGCCAAATCTGTAGATTGGACGTTTTTTAAAATTCATGATTAAACATTGAAGGTTAAAAAAAAATATAAAAAAAACCTTTTCTATTCAATTTGAAATTTTAAAATAACATTTTTAAGTTTGTTGTTAGAATATGATATACACTTTAAAGAAAAATAAAAGCTATAATTACATTTTTAAAAACCCTTCTATGTCAAATGTAATTTAGATAACATTATTCGAATTTTTATACGTTGAAATTCTATCAAAAATACATTTCTCTACCGAACGGGCTGAAAATGAATTTTCAATATAATGGGTGCGATATCTACCCAGATATGGAAGCTGCTTCTCTGGCTTTCGATTGCAAGATTATATTTTTAGCACCTTTTCTATAGCAAAAGCATTGATTAACTGATAGTTCGCTGTGCCTTCTTGGAGCGTAAAATAAAATTAAAATAAATCTGTTGATTAGATGATAGTAACCAACATTGTAACAAAGTACAACATTATAGAGATTATGGTTTCTACGAATCATCGATTAGCCGCAGGAAAACATGAGAATTTACTCAGCAGAAATATGTATTTATAAAGTGACGTTCCGGTTTTCAGCCGAGTTCAACATAAAGCAAAAAAAGAGACGTGCAGGGCATTCGATTGACTTCCTTTCGGGCGCCTTTGATTTCACCAAAGGACAATTATCGGCACCATTAAGTCAGTCGATTAAAATTGCAATTTTTCTGCTGCTGCTGATGCTCGTTTAAGTAGCACCTCGCTAGGGAGCTCACGTACCTACTACTTTTCGCTTACGAGGATCTGACTGAGCCTCGAAGAAAATATTTTTTTTCAACCAACCAAGTGACATGGGGATGGTTGTAAAACAACAACACTGATCTGCGATATCACACGTTTTCCAATGCTTTGTAGCCTAGCATGCCAAGGCAATGCAATAAAAAATAGTAGGAACAGTTGGACTTATTAAATGGCAATAACGATGCGGCGATTATTGACCAGTCAATCAATCAAACGCGTAAATCAATGGGACGTCCTATGTTAAGCTAGCAAGTCAGAAATAAGCTTATCCACGATATCAAGTGCTTTTGGTACAGTGCGGTGAGGAGCGGCACAATTATATAAGGTATTCTGTGTTCGCAAAAGGCCCCGGCGGGAAGTGGTTTGGATTTGATCGACAATATTTGCCGTGCCATCGAATTTTACGATCGAAAGGTGCGAGGGGTTAATTACGCGTATCGATCTAATTATCTGTAATTTCTGAATATTACACATATTTTCAAAAGATTTTTCCTTGTCGATTTTTGTCGGTGACAGGAACCTTAACAGGGGCTATCACGTTTATTAGTATTAGTAGTTTAGTTGCAGTCTGAGTAAACTTATTTGTAGATTGTAAAAGTGTATAGGGAATATGGTATAACGCAACAAATACATTTTCTTACGTTTTTTTTTCCAGTCTCTGCTTGTGAAAATTTACGCTCGTAATGGAAATTTTGCCCCTTACATAGAAATGCTACGTCACTGAGCAGATTGCAATCAATCCCTGAGACCATCGATGCTTAATCACTCACCTGTTCGTGCTTTTTCAGGTATCCAAGTCGTGGAAACGTTTTATCACAAAATTGACAGCGATAAGTGCCGTCATTATTCTTGCTGTGGCTATTAGTGTGATTGTTGTTTTTAATTATTTTATTATTGTTGTCGATCCGGTTGCGTCTCTCGGTACGGCATTTGTCTCCGGTAGTACTAGCCCCGCTTACACCAGCTGAATCCCCATTCGGTAAAAGTACTCCAGTATCGCCGTCGTTGGTGATCGAGTTTGGCGTCGTCATGCCATCCGATATGGAGGGTGAAAAGCTCGACGACGTGTGCGAAGAGTAGAGCTCTGCAACATAAAAAAAAACACAACGTAGGTTTATATGAAGGACGAAACGGAAGTCATAATTAGATTGATGACTGTTACACGATGATAATCAGGTAATGGATTATTTATGATGGCAAATTTATATTGATGCGATGCTCCATTACACTTCCTTACGGATTTTGTTCTTGATGATAAGACTGGTTGTTGATCCTTTTTATTATCATACGGATTTGAATGAACGGATAAATGAGATCAAGAGAAATAACATATGGAAAAATATACATTTGCATCAATCACAATTTGTGGGGAAATCTCACGCCCAAGTATGAATCTTTGCACAACCTTCTTTTCTCATTTTTCTTGTGCAGATGTAGGTAGCTGAATGATGATGATAAGAGTAATTTATCGTAATCTAAGCTGAAATGATGCTTCAGTCATGTGTTTTTAAGAATGTTGCTATTTACGAAATCAGGAGATAAATGTGAAATTTTTGGAACGTGACTATTTATCGTAAAAATCTTACGTGGTATTCACACGCTACAAGCTGATTGGCGAAGCGGTTGAAGTAAAATAACATAATTTTAATTTTACGAGGGCGTTGTCAACGTCTGCAAAAATGGATGTAATCCCGAGCAAAGACCGAGATCAAAATGAAAACTTATTTGGTGTTGTGATCACGCTTTTAACGATTACTCAGGTTTATGTCGTTTTGGTCGTTTTAACGGTTAAAACAACCGGTGAACACTCGTGTTTATTTCAGTTCCCGTTGGACGTAATTTGTGATGAGCCCCGGTCCCTTTCAAATTGTATCATTATTTATGTGCGGTCCATATATTTGAAATGACGTTTCTCATTCATCTAGTGATGGCCAATTTTCATTCGAATTATTGATTAATCGATTAACGAACCGAAAAGTAAAATATTTGTAATCGGTTATATCATGCCGATAGAAGCATTAACTTCTTCAGAGGATCATCACCGATCGTTTCAAACATGTGCTGCACTCTCATTGGTAGAAAAATGACAGCACAGCGAACAAAAAATAATCTATTAGTTGTTAATCGAGTAATTAAAAAATGGGACACCCCTGATTTTGGTGTGTTTGTTTTGATAAAAATTTCATCTCTACTGAGGGGGCAGCAAAACCACAAAATTACCTTTAATACGGGGGGTATTCATTGGATGAAAGGGACCGTGAAAGAGGACACTAAAATAGAAAGTTTTTCTTCCGACAGTTTCATCTTAGTATTCATCTTTGGTTAAAATATCAAAATTGAGAACAAAAAATCTTCCAGTGACATCTCATTGAAAACTAATTCTGCTACCAGTGAGAGCAAACTGATAACAAAACGAGTATTAAATTTAATGTTCTGCTAAGGCAATGAAAACAGAACTGCAACAACATATTTTTGAAGAGCAAATGTTTCATCCAAATTTAAATAAAATGTGTTATCAAATTTTTCAATCGCCGAAACAGAAATTATATTAAGATTTCAGTTTCATGTTGTCTTATAAATTTGATTTCGATTTGCTGTCATTTTGATGCTGCACATTGCTCGGGATGTGTGTGTGGAAATCATCGCTTATATTTTGAATAGTTCTGCCAACATGTAAAAAATGACCACAACACACCCAACTAACAGCATCAGATATAGGCGTAGCCAGAGGGGGGCAGCTGCCCCCCTAAACCCAGAAAAAATGTCCATAGATTTTTTGTTCGCCCCCCGTTACGCTCTTGGCACCAGGCAGTGCAAACTTCCTTCACCTGTTACTGATGTTGGTTTGCCTGCATGAGTCTTAATATGCGGGCCAATCTAAGTTTAAAGCCATTGCTTGCATTTGGAACATATGTTGCTCTAAAACTGATTGCATTGTATGTACCAGCAGCACATACTTCATTATGTTGTGGAAATGGTCGGATGAATATTAGGGTAGGTGTTCTAGTAATAGTGGTGTATCTATAGTTGTGGTATGGGGGTTGTGCCGGAATAATAAGGGAACACTAGATAAAATTATTATTCACCGGTAGCTCTCCCAAAATAAAACATATTTGCATATTTCAAACATAAAATTAGCCCAAAATTACGGAAAACAATTAATTTTCCTGAACATTGTTCATATGATTGCACAGAAAAAAGTTCTTTATTTTAACTGTCGCTTAAAATCTCCCGTTGTTTAATTTTGAGCTGTACTGCCCTTTTCAGCATAGCATAATTAAAACGTTGTTTTTGTACAGAAATCAATCTTTAAGAAAATGATTCAAACTTTGATGATCGATTAAAAAAAAGTAGAATAGTCTGTACCTAGGGCCACGAACGGAAGCTTGACGTAGGACCGCTAGTGGACGGAACAAATGTGAAGAGCATTTAGTTCTTTTAATTGATCGTTCATCTATTATTTTAACTCTTTCCGTTTGTGAATTGTAGGCGTACCAAATTTGTAGTAATTTTTTTAAAGAGAAAGTTGATGAAGAGAATTGTTAAAAATCACTTGCACGCCTGCTTCCAAGTTTGGTTATAAGATTACATCTCTGGAGAGCATTTTGTGTGGCCGTTGGGGGCGTGTGGTTCTGAATATGGACAAACAGGCACAGATAAATTCTATTCTAACTCTTTACTGTAATAAGCTTTATGGTACTGAAAAGGGCCGTTTTGTTGCTAAAGTTGGTGATGATTTAACCTCCGAAACCGTACATAGTGCGTATGTCGCTTCAAAACGTAGACGACATCCATGGCCGCTTACGCTTGGCGTGTTCAGAGTAGGTAATAGCAGCATCACGGATCACATTTCCAGGAAACCCTTCACCACCTTCACACCTCGTGTTTTCTCATAGATCAGACCGGAGATAGTTTGACACCGCCACGGCGAGCCAGACGACGGATGATGGTTATCACGAAGAACCTTGCGATGACGGTTGGCGCCTCCTTTACCAAGACCTTTTCCTCCTTTGCCAATCTGTTGCTTGAAGGGCAGAAGAGTGGACTACCTAACCTTCCACCACCTTCCTACTGCTGCTATTGATGCAAAGCTGCCTGCTCACCAAGCCGTCCGAAGAGAAAATGAGTTGAGGCTAGACAGCAGCGCTGTTTTATATCATTTCAGGTTAAAGCATAATGATGTGCAACCAAGTGGTACTCGATTATGACGACTGGGTTTGGGAAGAACGTTTATTTCATGAAAACAGTGATAAAATTATCACTTTTTATTTGTACATTGGACAATGCTTGACATCACCACTTTTTCAATAGTTTCTTGTTGAAAATTATTGATCGGTAGTATTGCTATTGATGCGTGGAAAAATTTCTGTTTGATTAGTGATAAAATTATTGAAATTGGTCCAGGGGCAGCTGAGTTATTAATGTTCAAAATCTTTCATAATATTGTTACATGTTCCATTTTCGGTTTTCACAAAGTGTACCCCCATATAGAGATTAGTGACGTTTAACGCACGCACACTAGCGGGAGCAACGCCGTATAAATTTGTTTATTATTTTCCTCTGGCTAACCTAAAAAATGTATGAAAGTAGATCGGTCAAAATGAGTTTGACATCGATTTGTTATGTATTTTCCTCGGATATTCACTTACACGCTCTCACATATCGCACCAATACAACCGGACGTGAAAATCTCTATAGAAATCACAGACGTAGTCCTACGTCAAAATTTCTTCCGAGCTCCACCCTAAAACATGCACTAAATTTGTTGCTATAAGTATGCCTAAAAGGATTGTACACAATGTAGCTGCAACTCTCCTCAGTTCGGGACATAAAACCACTGCGACCAGCATCCCGTGTCCTTAGTTTAGTGCATGTCACATTATTCCATCACTATTAAGAAATGATGAAGTATTCGAGTTTTGATATAGTTGTCATTCTTGCCTTCATCGCAAGGAATCGATTCTAATTGAAAGGTTCCGCTATTTGTACTATTCGAAGAGTGAGTGCACCCTCCAAAGGCGCGCCCCTTTGTAAGTCAAAATTGGATTCCTTAGCAACAAATAACACCGATAATGACCATGCAACAGAACCCTAATCTTAACCACTTCAAACTAGGGAACAACTATCAGAAGATTAGCAACCACATACAGTCATCCCAGTATTATGGGTCAGGCGGTTCTGCGTGTTAATCTAATGGAAGTGACCCGTCATTGTGGGTGACTTATAATACTGGGGTGACTGTACATGAAGACTTACTAATTTTTTCCTTGTTTCAAGATCATCCTCGGTTCAAGAAACCCGAGGACTTATTACTATTATAATTATGTGTGTGTGTGTGTGTCATCCTCTATCCCTCACCCAGCCGGGGGCGTTGGACAAGTAGAACTGCGAATAATTTGATCAAATCTCATGCTCCGTAATGGTGCCCTTTATGTTGTGAAGACTAGTACTTCAAAAAGGGTAACTTTTGAGGCAAGACAGGGTGTCCTCAACAAGTTAAGGGAACAGGATGCACTAGATGTCCACAACAGGTACAGCAAAACATCACATAGACGCCCTTATTCACACTAACTACTCAGGGGGTAGAAGGTCAAGAAGAGCCACCGCCGCCAACTAAAGCTTGAACCGGGTACCTGGGACTCCCACGATATACCCGCGGCAATGGTCAGCAGACGATGCCCTGTGCGTATTTAGTATGTAATATGTTTTATTTGGATACACAAAATGTTTGAAGCCATGCGTCATCTAAACCATAATTTGCATCACCACAAATACACTTGTCAACAATCTTCAACTGGAACGTACTCACCAAATCACTTCACCCGGGAGCGCATTCCCGATGCTTCCACGCATATTTTTTTTTCCCTCCACTCCAACCACACAACAACCAAATATCACTTTTCTTCACTTTTCTTTTTCAAGTCACTCCGTGCACAAAAGCAATGCACATCTCAAAACCCTTCCAATAGATCAGCTCACTTCTCATCACCGCGTAAATAAACAGAAATTAAAATTTTCACTCGCGATGCCACAAATTTCTGGTCCGGGAGAAACAATCAAACCACGCCAATTTTGCAAACATGA